CATTCAGGTGTCATGCATGTAAAAAAGTTAAATTTAGAGTGAAGAGTAATCTTATTAATAAAATTGATACGTCATCAACAAATTCTCATCATTCGACATGAATCTTGAGGCATGACATGAATCTCGAGGCTATTTTTTGAGTAAAAAATATTCAAACTTCGATTAAAAATCATCCAGAACTCTGATTTCAATAAATTTACAGTCAAACAGACTGGCTCAACGAGACAGACTTAATGGTACCAAAATCAATCTTATCTGAGTCAAATCAAGATTAAATTAAGCCATTAAACCACTTTTGAAAGCTTTTGAGACATATTTGGAAGGTCAAACGGATGTTGAACCTGACGAGTTATAATTGAATCGATTGTCTCACCAAGACAAATACAACGAGGTCAAGATCTCTCAATTAAGACAACGTTAAGACATTCAAATGTTCATCAAATATCGCCTGATCGAAGAATTTTTTTTTGAACCGTCTGATCAATGTGATTTAGATTCATTCATTAATTGATGCCGGAACTCTATAAATAGAGGCCTACTTATCTCTTGAGGTGGAGAGATCTTGAAGCTTGAAGAAAGACTGAAGCTTGGAGAATGAGCTGAAGTCCAGTGTCACTTTTGCACCGACGATCCAAAGAACACCTCTTGCTTCTGTAGTCGCCAAACACCGTCAGCCATCAATTGTCGATCGCCACCAATCACTAATGACCGTTCTTTGTTCCTTGCGATGACACATCTTAAAAATAATATGCAAAACATCACATCATCACAGATGTTGCACTGATCTCGAAAACTAGGGATGTAAATGAGCCGCAAACAAGCGAGCCCACGCACAACTCTTGTTCGGCTCTTCAAAAAATATGATTGTTAGTGTTCGGCTCACTTATATTTCGAATGCAAAAAAAAAGTGTTCAATTTTGGGTCATTTGCTTAGCGAGCCGAACACGAACTGTTCATGAACAAAAGAGTAGTTTTGACAACCCTAGTCACACAACAGTAGGATGTTCAGGTTTGGGGCGAGATTTAAGTCATATTATTTATATTAAAATATCATTTAAATATACTTTAATATATTTTTATTCTATTTTTTAATTAATGATTTAAATTGATTATAAATCTTTGTAGCCCTATACTCAATTAAATTTTTTTAAAATACTACTCATCATATATATATATATATATATATATATATATA